CAAGGAACCCTGGTGAGGCTATCTGCTTGTACAGCCAACACATAGGATATTGGAAGCATAGTTGTCCATAATACCTAGAGGAACCTAAGAAGAACATAGCCAAATGTTATGGTACCTCAGTCACAAATAAATCTATATATTACTTCTACTTCTAATACTTACATTTCTGCTCATACGTAGGGATTAAAGCAAAGTAGGAAGTTCAGGTATGGAGAGTTTGACCTCATCACGGAGAAACGACACAATATTGTCCTTACTATGACTCAAGACTACGAGCTTTTGCTATCTAGTGGTGTTTCAATTAGCTTATTGGATTATTGCTACTCGTCAGAAATAAAAAGAAACTTTATTCCTTTTTATGCATTATATAAAGATAATTTCTATTTCAATTTGAATTTGATTCTGGTTCTAAAAACAAATTTCCCAACAAGATTCATAGCTAGACCTTTTTTGTGAAGTTTTTGGAGGATACAATATTTTTTTGATTAAAGAATTGAAAAAAGGTTCAATTAAGATCTAACATATTCAAAAAAAAAAAAAAAAAAAAAAAAAAAAAAAGATTTCTTGGGAATGTTTATAAGGCATAGTTTACTTAGTTTGGGGGAGGGTTTGATTTCTTTTAACATGCCGAGTACAAAGAAGAAGACTAATCAAATGATGTGGGGTGTGTGGATGATAAGAAAACGTTGGGTTCTTTATGCAAAGGTGAATAACGTCGAAAATATCGTCCCTTTATTATATGGCTGTCAACCAAAACAAAAAAACAACACAAGTTCTCTACCAATTGCTTTATTAGGTGAAGACATACATGAGTTTTTTACACAAGCTTGAAACATGTGAGAAAGAAACGACGTAAAACAAGAACGTGGTATACAGGAAGAAAGTTAAAAGCTTTCTTGATACCAAAAAAAATTGGTTTCACCAAGCAACAGGTGGGTTACCTGCAAGACGCTGAAATGTAACAAACCAAGAACAAAATAAAGAAAATAAATTTTTTCTTGTTCTTTAGTGATTAAAAGGTTTTCTTTTTTCCATTTTCCATTGAGAGTTTCATTTCATATGCATTGCTAAAAATTATAAAGTTTAATCTATTTAATGCAAACTTATATATTTTACGTTTAAAAAAAAAAAAAAAAAAAGACAAAACAGAAATATAATGGTGCAAATTGATTTTTGTTTTAATAATCAAATGCAGGGAGCATGAAAAAAATTCAAACACAAGTATCCAATCTTTGACCGAAAAGAGATCGATCGGTTCACATAATAACTTGGTCCTAAGAGCATTCATTATGGTGAGTTCAATGGGAGAACTGAATAAGGTGGCAAGTCTAGTTGTTATTTTTGGATGAAAAATGGATTAGGAGTTCAATTGTCATTGAATTCAATGAGAAAAATGAAAGTTTTCTAATCTTAAATACATACTATAAATTAGTTTTTGTAACTTTCTATTGAAATTTATAGAGTTGAATGCATTGTAGCAAAAAATTGATTGAGTTGTATGGAATTTAAAAAAATGATGTGCCGATCCATTGAACTCTATGGAGTTCAATGCATTATAGATGCGCGAAAACCATGAAACAAAATCAAAGCGTGTTCATAGAGATTCAAAGAACTCGATGAAGCCATGCATTACTTCTTGGGTGCTTTGATGTACTCCAAATGAGTCGAGTTTCCAACTCTTGTTAATGTTTTCAAATCGTAAGCTATCCAGCATCTTGATCCTTGTGTATGATAGAAATAGCCCATGCACTTGCAGTCCTTGGTGCATTTACTCTCGCAGTCGCTTTGCTTCCTTCCACCATCTCCCCTTGTGTACTTAATCATAAAATGGTCAACACCTACAAGCTTGTAGTACCCAAAGTCACTAGCTTTACATGACACCTTCTTTGCCTCACAATCTTTGCTCCACCCACTTAGTCCATTTGGTGTAGGGCATGCGACACACTGGCTATTCTCACATAGCCCAAACTTTCCACATCGTTCTGGTAATTGGCACTCGCCTTCCCTGGAATCCCAGTCTAGAAACGTGTATACCACTTCCCACACGGCTCCTTCCACATTCGGGTTATACGTGTAGAATCTAAGGTTTCAATCTAGCCCTAGTCGAAGAAAAGATAATGTGTTGTTGTATCGTGATCACTACTAGAAACAAGAGTTTTAGAGACGGAAGTATCCGTCGCTATTCCGTCTCCAAATGTTGTTTGCGATGGATCAGCGACGGATTCACTCCATAGGTAATTAATAGGTGGCTAATTTCTCAGCGAGGGTTTTAGTGACAGAGAGGTTTTTCCTTGCGACAAATGTAGCGACAGAATATCCGTCGCTAAATGTCACTCAATACATTTGCTCAGGGCATTAGCGACAAAATTTGATAAAATCGTTCCGTCGCTGTTCTATCGCAAATTTCTGTGATCAGTTTTTTTCCGTAGCAAATCCCTAGCAAAATTCATATACTGATTTTTTTTCGTCACTGATCTGTTGCAAACTTTAGACATGGTTTTTTTTCCATAGCTAATCCCTTGCAAAATTTATACATTAATTTTTTTTTGTTCCGTCGCAAAATTTAGACATGATATTTTTTCCGTAGCTAAACCCTTGCAAAATTGATGTATTAAAATACTTTTTTTTATTCTCACGAATACGTCGCGAACTTGTAATATCTTTTTTTATTATGATTCTAAAAGAAAAAAATACTACAATCATCAAATTTTTATACTAAAAAACATCAAATAACGATACAACCAAACATTACAATACCAAAACTATCAAAGTTTACCAAAGTATCATTCAAAAAACATCCAAAACCAAAACTATCCATATAACATCAAACTAGCTCCCAAAGGTTTAACTTCAAAATAACATTTTAGCACCAAGATATCCAAAGTATGCATCGGGAAATGAGTTTTCACAAAACATAACTTCAAAATAACATTTTAGCTTCTCTCTTCATTTCATGTCCATCCAATCATCTTTGGTTCTCATTCCTATAAAACATTATTCAAAACAATTAAAAGTATCAAATACAAAAGGTTAACAAGTCATTCAAAAAACATCAAATACTAATGGTTAACATCATATTACCTCTAATTTTCAATTTCCCATCATAAGGCTGCATACATCTTCTCCATTGCTTCATATTTTGCATCAATTTGTTGTTGTTTGGCATCTATTGCTGCAGCTTTGGCATCCTTACAGTTTATTAAAAAAAATACATAAATGTGGGCAAAATGATAATTTTATCAGGATGGATATGCTCTAATAAAAAACCGAAAGGGAAAAAATGTAAATTCCATGGTCCCTAAACGATGACCATATCAAAAAAAAAATGTTGCTAGATCATGGCAAAATGACCATCTTACCCCCCTGGCCCTTATCAAAATTCTATTAAAATACAAAATTTAGGGCAAATTTGTCATTTTACCATATAAATCCAAAACAATATGAAACCAGGGGCAAACAAAATAGAGCACATATCACTTCAAGATTCTTCAATAAAAGAAAGGAAAACCAGGGGTTAAATGGTCAGAAAAGAGAAAAGCAAACCAAGGGCAAACAAAATGAACATGAAAAGAGACATAGTAAGGAAAAGAAAATCGACAAAAATTGAATTTCCTGCAAGCAGAGGAGTATATGTGCCCACATGTTTCTTGATAAAATCTACAACCTACACATAATATCAGGTGTTTATTAAACAATACTAAAACCTGGCAGAAAGAGGAAATAAATACAAAAAAAAAACTATAGTTTATTTGGAAATTTTCCCTATTTGGAAAATTTTCAAGTAAGCTAAACAATTTGCAAGTATTATAAAATTTTCAAGGAAGAGTTGTGGAAGCAATATGGAATGTTATTCTAGTCTACTGGTATTTATAGTATTAAGGTGCATTCAGGTTGTTATTAATTAGGGAAACTCACAGCAAAATGGAAATCCCATGTCTTCTCTAACCAGGGTTCAAATTCTCAACAAACTATGATGAATTCAATGAAGCCCACTTCTAGTCTTGACCCAGGTCAATGTATGAGTGGGAGTGGGGCCCAACAAGTGAACATGAATCCTATGGGTTCCCTACAGCCGAACCCAAACATGCTTCATATTAAACAACAAGAACAACTTCTGCACAGCCAACAACTGAAGCAATTTCAAAATCGCCAAATGCTGCAACAATTTCTTCAGAAACAACAGCAGCAATTCAGACAACAGGGGACTCAAGTTAACCAAATGACTCAGCTTCATGATATGAAACTCACACTACAACATCAAATGGGCGGTGTGAAACTGGGGACTTTTCAATAGGTGGCAGGACAGCGGGCAGGGTACCACCAACAAATGAAGCCAGGTGGCAGTCCGTTTTCACCTCAGTTAATCCCAGGTGGGGTCCCCACAAATTTCTCAACACGCTTCTCCACAGATTGAGGAACAGAATATGTTTAATCCTGCTAACTCGGCTTTTACTGTTCCTTCATCTTCAACTCCTGGAGCTTCTCCTTTACCAAGGGAGTTAATGGGTGGTGTTGGTGTGTCATCTTTGAGTTAGTGTGTGTGTGTGTGTTTTTATGTCTCTGTGTATATCTCTCAGTGTAAGAGCAGAAGGCTTTTTATGGTCATACCAAAGTGCATTAATTTCTTTGAATTCCATATGATGTATCTTCAGAGAGGAACAGAACTTGAAAGACTCCAATGGCTATCAGAGTAATAATGTCCCTATCTATGCTCATAATGTCCATGTTCCTCTTCTGCCTCCTTTCCTATTTACCTCTAATTCACTCAAACATTTCACACTAACTAGCATTGTGATTGGAGCTTGCAATATTACGCCCAAAACACCTTGGGATTTTCCAGCTTTAACAACTTTGCATATCAAGGGCAATTGTATTGTGTGGAGGAATAACGATTGAAAAAGGAAAAAAAATGGAGAAATTAAACCCTAACGTAATATATTGTGCAACTAAATCAAACCTAACCTAATATATGACTAAAGCAAATAAAATCAAGAGATTTACCTGAATCGGAAGTTAACGAAGAATAATTTCAGATTTTACAATTGTGGAGGCTGTCGGAATCGGAAGCTGCAATGGTCTGTTCTTGTCGTCATCTGTTTGAACAGAGATGGTGAGATTAGGTTAAGCAAGCTGCAACTCGAGAGTGTCCTCAATTTCAGATTTGGGTGAGAGCGTGTTTAATTGGAGTGACAAATCTGATTTGGGACAGAAGAAAACTTACACGAAGTCTGGAATTGGAGCGTCAATTTCAGCGAGAGATCGTCAATGTTAAAAACATAGCGTGCATATGCTCTGTCGGTATTCTCTCGCTAAACACGTACCGGATGGCCAAAAAGTCGATCTTTTTTTTCCGTCGTTGAACCCTCGCCAAATGCCTTCGTTTTCCACCAATTACCGAGGGATAAGAGTCCGTTGATAAATACTTGTGAGATCTGTAGTTGATCCCTCGCTAAACACTCTCTAATATGCTAAATGTTGAATAAATAAAATAATTGTTTAAACCATCGCATATCTCTCGTAATTCCCTCTCTATAAGCCTAAAATTTATTACAGATTTAATCCCTCTCTAAATCCGTAGCTGAAACTCAAGTTTCTAGTAGTGTGAGTAGGCCATGTTGCGACTCGAATTGGAAAAGGGATATGAGATAAAGTAATCAAACCTCAAGGAATATAGAAAACCCTGATCGGTATCTGGGACTGAAGTCAGAGTTAGATTGGTCAAACTACCCTTGTCCATGGTGAACCATTCGCTAGAAGTCCAATAAAGCATTAGAGTTGGGCGAGGTGTGTTGGTGCTCCTGTAATACAAAGCTAGAGGTTTATAAGGCTCCATGACCAAGCTATACGCTCCATCGATGTTGTTCTCAGCTGAAGCACGACTGGTCAGCCTACTGGTTCCACCAGCTTGGGAAGATTGACCAACCAAGAGAGTGTCCGTTGGCCAGTCAAAGCTTGCCATATGAAATTACCCTTGCCATCATGAAGAACCATGTTACCGTTCCGCAGCACCTTCAAACCGACTACACCGCTGTCAGCGGTACTAGATTGCCAGGAAATCAGGCCATCGGCATCTGTTAGGACGAGGTTTCCATCTGTACCGAAGGTGAGGGTGGCGTTCTCACGAACTGGGTTGCCTCGGTTACAGGGTCGGTCCAGACGGTGGGCAACCCAAGCGACCGACCAAGGCCCACGACTCTTGGGGCCCCAAAATTTATGGGCTATATAGTGTATATATATAAAATTATTACCAAAATGATTTTTACAGCCTAAAGTTGGTTCAAACTCAAACTAGCTAAAAAGATAAACAATTTGACTTGCTTCTTATTATTAGTTTGAATGTGTTTATAGTCAATAATAAATGATATTTTTTTTGAATCTTTATTATATTTATCTTTAAGGTGTCATTTTTTTTCTTTTCGCCCCGGGCCACATATACATTTGGACCGGTCCTGCTCGGTTAGCTTCCCAAACCCAACGCATGAGTGACTCCGATTGTTGTGTACCCATACGTAGAGCGAGAGTGAATGCGTTAGGGGTGGTGTTGTAGAAACAAAGCTGGAATGGGTTACTAAAAGGGGGAAGGGCGCGATAACTTGCATCGTACTCAATGACATACTCTCCAAAATCACCTGCATTTAAGTACGTGAAGGTGTCTGAAGCTGGCACAACAGCTTCAGAAACAGTGGAAAATAATTCAAAGACGAGAAAAAGAATAAGGAAAGATGCACAGATGAAATGGGGAGAAACCATTTTGGGTGGTGTTTTGACATGTTGAATGAGCCTGAATATATATAGACTGGATTGTGTCGAAGCCAACGCTATTAGCTAGGGTGATGCTATATTGACTAATCATTCAAGCAACATCAACAAAGCCACTTGACAAATTTTAATAGTTTTACTTATTTGAGCATCTCCTTTTATCAGGTGCCTCATATTTCACGTGATATCCACTATCCCTTGTTTTATATCTAAACTAGGAGTTTTAATTGGCTACCCATCAAGTTGGGAAGGAGCAAAAGTGACAACCCTAAAAATAGTGGAACAAAAGTTTTTAATTTATCAAGGAGAGGCTACAAGCTTCAATAAGAAATAGTTGTGGCCAAATTCTTATAACATGACTTTAATTAACGAGGAGAGGCTGGCAATAACAAAAAATAGTTGGGGCCAAACTCATTATAACCAAGAAAGCTCAACTGTTCTTTAACATATTCCATTTTATATATATATATATATATATATATATATATATATATATATATATATATATATTACATTTTATATATATATATATATATATATATATATATATATATATATATATATATATATATATATATATAGGGCCGGCTCAACCAGTTTGGGGGCTCTAAGCGATCAAAAAATTTGGGGCCCTTTGATAAATAACAAAAATTTAACTTCAATTTGTATATCAAACAAATTTAACTTCATCAAAATAATTGTACTCTATTTGGTGTAGTGCATCAAACAATTTTAACTTCATCAAAATAACAAAAATTAACATAGACCATGAGATGTCTTGGATGACCTTTTTAGACATAGATTACTAACAAACAAAATGAAGGAATATTGCAGAGATATGATAATAGAATAATGATAACCATGCAGATTGAAAATTAAACTAATAGATAAGCTCAAATAACTTCTTTTTTCCTTAGGGTTGAATTGTGACAAAAAAAAGATAAAAACAGAGATCTCTTTTGTGAAATTAATATAAACATGAAATTGGAAACTGAGTTACAATGGACATGATTAGGAATTATTCCCTAGTCGTAAGTTTGGCTAAAATCAATAAGAAAAAAGGGGTTTCGGCAGGTCAAAAACGGGTTAAGCATAAGTGCAGAACCACCCGGTCCAGGCTATCTCACAAACAACAATCATAGATAATAGATTATCATCTTTTCACAAATTCACAAACCACAATCATAGATAATCCGAGGAAAAATCGAGGAAGAACAAGAATGGAAGAAGAACTTACTTTTCAAAATTTAGGAATCACCAAATTAATTGAGTTCTTGAGTCTTGACACTCGATAGCCTTTCAGAAAGAAGAATCAAGTCAATCAATAATGGAGGTAATTGGTTTCTGCAGAGAAAGAAAGAAGAATCAGATTCAAACGATAAAGAAAGAAGATGAATTGAAGAACAATGAGTCGCATTCAATAGATAGCACCGATCGTTTGATTAATTTGTTTCTGCAACTGATGTGTACGATTTACGAATGGAAATTGGAGAATTTTGATCGACACTTAATTATTCCCTAATTGAGGTTTGGGTTAAGTGCGGCCCCTTAGAAGTTGGGGCCCTAAGCAAGGGCTTAATTATTTATACACTAAGGCCGGCCCTATATATATATATATATATATATATATATATATATATATATATATATATATATATATATATATATCAACAAATGTTTCGTGCTTTTGGGGTAATATCAATTAATAATTTGCATACCTTAAGTTGATTTGTTTTATGTTTGCACTTTTAGCTTTAGTTTCTTTTTTTTAACAGAAATACTATCGGTGGGATTCGGTAAATGATGGAATGATCGAAAGTGGATTTAGAAGTGTGGTGCAAGATCGTTATTCAGACATAATGAGTGAATATCGACATGAATCTGCAAATAAAGCTCGAGCGGCCGGTCACAACATCCCGGACACAGATAATGACTTTGCAATCATGCGTGATTCTGAGCCTATTACTTTCAATGAGAACGTATGGAAGGATTTGTGTAAAGTCAACTAATTAATATATTATTGTTTTTTGTTATTATTTTTTTTGCCTTTTATATATTATCTTACATATTCTTTTTATAGTATTGGGACACAGATGCTTGGAGAAAGAAGTCAGTGGCCGGGAAAGCCAATCGTATGAGCGGTGACGATACAGATACAGTTTCGAGACATATAGGGGGATCCAAGGGTTATGATCAGTATCGACTGGAATTGGTAATTATGCGAATCAATATTCGTATAATTTAGTAATTGGTTTTACTTAATCATAGATTACACTAATTATACTATGTGTTTTATGTAGCAAAAGGAATTGAAGCATATCCCTACATTTCTGGAACTTTTTCTTATTACCCACCTTACTGCAGAGGCCAAGAAAAAATTCAAGGCTAAAGATTATGATACAATTCAAGAGTTGGAGTTTTGTACACCTACTACTGGAGCAATATGTGTAATTTATCTTTTCCTGTATAGATAATTAGTGCTTCAACTTCAAATAGTACAATAATAACAATCGTTTTGTTTTGATAAATTGTAGGAGAGATACACTAGTACCATGGTTGAAAAGTACGGTGAGGACCTAACTCAACATCCAAAGGGTGATGTTGACTTGTGGGTGCAAGCACAAGAAGGGAGAGGCAAGTGCAGACGTATTTACGTGGTAGGAAGTTCAGATCTACATTTCGTTGGCATGGGGACATCATCCAACGGGAACAAACCAACCTCTTCTGAGTACCAGCAGTCATAACAGCGGGTATTTTTCTTTGAAATTAAAAAATGCAAAGTAGATAAAATATGTTGTTATTATAGATAAAAAAAATCAAGTTTGTTGCTATTATGGATAAAATAAAGTTGTTGCTATTATTTAAAAAACATAGCAGTATATGGTCTTTGATAATAAATAACAATTATAGTATGTTGGCATTATGAAAAAAAGGTAAAATGCTATAATTGATAGAAAATAAAAGTATGTTGCTACTGTATATATAAAAATGATAATATGTTGCTATTGTGAATAAGAAAATTTAAGTTCATTCCATTTATAAGTGAAATATATGTTGGTATAATAGATATCAATGTTAATATATACTTTGTTTTTACTATTTTTTATGTTACTAGTATATGTATGTTTCTTTTAACATTTTTTTTTAAGTCCAGGAATTGGAAGAAGCTCATGCAGAATTGGCCCGACAAAATGATGAAATGGCCAAAAGACAAGCACAAATGGAAAAACAAATGGCATAAATTGTCGAGTTCATGAGACGATATGACACTAATAACCGTCCCGACAATCCATCCAATCCATCGAATTCTCCTTAGGTTATTTGTTGTAAACATTTGTACGTTTTTAAGACTTCTATATTATCTTTTTGGTTTACACGATTGTTGAAACTTATGTTCTAAAGTGTAAAGGTTTGTATGACTTTTAGATGAATGAACTAAGTTTTTTTGTATTAGTTCTTTTTTTGCATTTTAGGCTAAATTTTTTTGTTTTTTATTTTTTTATAGCTGCATTGTTCCTAGGAAATTCCTAGGAACTTCTGTCACGAACAAGTGTCACAAAAAACTGTCAATAAAGTTTCCTAAAAGGTTCCAAAGAAACAAATTTCCTCGGAGATCCCTCAGAAATGATCCTTGGAAATTCGTCATAAATAAACTTCCTTGGAAATTCCTTGAAAATAAATTTCCTCCGAAATTCATCGGATATAAACTTCCTCGGCAATCCATCGGAAATAATATTCCTTAGAAATTTCTCGGAAATGATCTTCCTAGGAAATTCCTCGGAAATAAAATTCCTAGGAAAACGCTAAGTACTTACGACAAAACCATTTCCTAGGTAATGCGTCAGAAAGTTCCTCGGAAATCCCTTACAAAAAATTTCCTAGGAGGGCTTTACTGATGCACATGATTTTCTCGGCATTTCCTTGGAAACGCCGTTTTCCTAGGAATTTCCGAGGAAAGTATCCCTCGGATATAGCACTTTTTTTTAGTAGTGATATATATATATATATATATATATATATATATATATATATATATATATATATATATATATATATATATATATATATATATATATATATATAAACCTTATTATTTCTAAAAATAGATTTAAGATGTCAAAATGTTTAAGTTTAAAGTACAACCGCACTTTAATAAAATAATATTAAACTTTAAATTATCCAAGTTTATAAGCTAAAAAT